ACTTCCCCTCACTCACTCGCTCTCTCACTCACCGTCTGTTGTCCCCTCTCCCACTCTCTCGCCCAGTGTCTGTTGTCCCCCTTTTGGGTGCGTATCTTGGCTGTGTGTTTGTAGCTGTACTTTGGCTGCGGGCAAGGACGTTTGCAATCAAACAAAAAAAAAAACTTTCATTAAACTTTTCGGGTTTTGTTTTGTTTTTTTTTATCAGTCTCAGTGCCCGCTTATCAGTCGCGTAGTTTCTGCTGTTCCGCTATTTTTTTTCTGTTCGGCTCAGATGTCTTATCGGACGTGGGACACACGGGGCAACGGAGGCGAAGGGAATCTTATCTACTGGGTTTGTGTGTGTCGCCTCTCGCCTCTCGCACATCGGGTCTCTGCTGTGCTCTGCTGTTCCTTCTCTTGTTTCGATTTGTCCACGAAATCTAATTAATTTCCACAGCTAATTCATTTTGTGACAACGACAGCGATTTATGCTGATTAAAGTGGAGAAACCTCCCACCACCTACCACCACCACCTCCTCCTCCACCATCTCCTCCTGCTGCCCACCCCACCCCCATTGACATTATCAGCAGAGCTGTGTGTGTGTTTTTTTTTTTTGTTGGTTCTACTAAATTTATTGTTATTTATGATTCCCTCCTCCCAACCCACCGCCATTACCTTTTGACTTCTTTTTGCTGTGTGGAATTTTATCAAAAAAGAAATAGTAAAATAAAAGGGATGGAAAAACTCTTTGCTTTGCTTTTGGGGGCTTTTGTCGTCTAAAGCCATTTAGAGCACTTTTCGCACCTCCAAAAAAAAAAAAAAAAAAAAAAAAAAAAAAGATACAGATACATTTTACTACATGTATGTATATCTGGTAGATGGCCAGGCCATGCGACAGCTGTCAGAAGAGTCGTGGAGGGAGCACAGATGGAGGAGGGAGGGGAGGGCGGCGGCTGGAACACATCATCATCATCAGCAGCAGCAGCAGCAACAACATTTCGTTCATCATCATCGGGTTTGGATTTTATGAAGGAATTCGCATTAAAAATGTTTATTGTGTTTATTTATTGCGAACGAGAATCGAGAACGGACCCCAAAATGGAAACACAAACAGATACAAAGATACACACACACACACCACACACATCACACACACACACACACACATATTCGTAAGATACAAAGTAAATCTAATGGAAATTTCTGTGTTGGCGAGTCAAAACCAAAACCAAAGGCGGAGGCGGAGGCGGTTGAAGGCGGTGGCTTTCCATGATGCACTTGTTTCAACGTATCTGTGGCAGCGTGTGTGTCTGCCTGCAGCAGCTGGTGGCATGGGGCATGAGGCAGCTGGCCAGCAGCAGCAGCAGCAGCAGCAGCTTCCAAGGAAATGCAACCCACGAGATACATGATCGTCTAGCGAGCGAAAGAGAAGTCCAAAGACATGCTGGGGTCCACTATGATTTATCTGCAAGTGCAAACGCATCTGCAGATACAGTATCTGCCAGGGTCTGGCTACTCCTGTGAGGATCTGCGCAGAATGGGTTCCAGAATGAAGGATTTCTTTGCTTATGGAATGGAATCTGGTGAGAAATCGCAAAAGCAGAAACTCTGATGCGTATTTTACCTCAGGAGAAATATGAAACGAATACCTCTAAATGGCTCTATGAAAGAGAAAAAATGTAGTTCTGACAAGCAGAGAAGGCGGAAGGCAGGCCACTCCTCGAAACTAGCAGGAGGTGACCCCAAAAGCGGAATTTCAAAATTTATGTTTTTTCGGGGAGCGGCCCACAAAAAAGAGAGAGAAATGAAAAGAGAACAAGAAGGCATGGTGCATGGGGCATGGGCCATGGGGTGTGAGGGGACATCAATTAGCGGACGACAAATGTGTCCCAAATGGATGGGGCGGAGGGGATCCAACAGCAAATCCCCAATCTAACGCCACGCCCAAATGCTCCTAGTATGGTCTCCATTCCCCATCTGTCTTCTGCTACTCTCATCCCCTTGTGCTTTGTGTGTGTGTGTGTGGCATGTCCTTGACACATATCCTGCCAAATGCTTAGCACGCACTCATATGTATATCCCTGTCATTCGCATTCGCCGCCTTTTGCGGGGCTTCAACGGAGGCGCCCCTAATCCATTTGAACTTTCAACGCTGCCAACTCTCGGGCAGCGCTGGCTCTTTGGGTCTCTCCTTCAAGGATAATACTCGTAAAAACGAATGCCTTGCGCCCTACTTTATGGGACAGCAGCAGCAGCGGCAGCGACAGTCGAAAACTTGGGCAACTTTTTTGTGTGGCTTCGGTAATATAATCCTAATGGAATTTACACTCAAAAGAGAAGGACACACGCGGCCGTGTCCTCTTTTGTTAGGCTTTTTGAGGGGCAGCAGCCAGAGGCACGAAAACAGGAAGAAGAATGGCTGGCTGATGGGGTGTGAAAGCAAGCGAAACGTGTCACGCGTCATGCGGTAGCGCCCCTTGGTCCCACCGAATCAGACCAAATTTTTGTTGTGGATAAAGTCGCGGCACTAAGTACGGTTACCGTGTGAAATTCAAGGCAGGGGCACCCATGCACGTATCACGGGTTATGCAGCAGCGCCCGTCGGTCGCAAAATAAATATAATATTTAATGAAAAAAAAAAAAAATAACAGAATAATTGGACAAAAATTTAGAAAAAAAATAGAAAAATTAAAAGCAGAAAATGAAAAGAAATTTAAATAAAATGAAATGAAAAGCAGAAAATGGCGAAATTGGTACAGGGGAATTTTCAAGTGGAAGCATGAAAACAGTTTCCAGATTGCAGGCAAATGTTGCTACTCGCTTCGGGCGCTGCCTCTGTAGTTTTCGGGCATTCAGATACAGATACGAAAAGATACATCTTTAGATACATACAGCTACAGCTACAGATACAACAAAAAGCTTTGGCGCTGGCTGAAGGTCAAGTGCATTAAGGCGAAACGGAAATGGAAATCAAATGAAATGAAAATGTTAAATGGAAACAAACAAAACAAAACAGAACAGAACAGAACAAAAAAAAACACACAGAAAAGAAAAAGAAAAACAGAATTTCCACACACGATGGAGAGAGAAAAATTATATCAGAGATGGAGAGAGAGAAATTTCCTTAGAAGAGAGGAAAGAGAGAGAGGAGAGAGAGAGAGAAGGGAATGCGTGCGTGAGTGTAGTAAATTTTGATTTTATTTGATTTGATTTTTTGTTGGGGGAGGAGCAGGACACACAGGAGAGGGGCCAGGAGAGCGGCAGGGCAGCAGTGTAGATGCAGGGGAGGGCAAAGGCGAGGTCATGGCTTAGCAGCATTATCCTTGGCGGCTCCTTCGTGTGGCTTAATTGTGCGTGTCAGGCGGCCACAAAGCCCCCCACCATAGCCGCCCCACAGCAGAACAGGCGGCAAACATTTGGACATGGGACATGCCAGTCCGTTTATGCCATATGGAGTGAGGGAAGGGGGGGTGTGGACAGAGAGGCGGCAGGACTAAGCATAGACGCAAGGCGGAAATGCTGGCGCCGACATTATCATTGGGTGCAGACCCTTGGAGCCCCTGCAAAAGCCCCGCACTCAAAGCGCAATTATGATAATTGAGTGAGCAGACGGCCACAAGGAGAGACACAGAGAGAGCGAGAGAGAATGAGAATGAGAGAGAGAAGTGTGGCAGTGGCAAGAGGCAGTGTGTGGCTGGGGCTACGGCTGTGTGGCAAGTGGCAGACAGGTTAAATTGCGCGTAACTCGACAGTAAATGTGGCAGATTCTTGTCTTGGGCGAAGGCTTCGGCGGCTTCTCTTCCTTGATTGATTTGCAGGCACACGACACAGGAGAGAAGGGAAACACACACACAGAGAGAATGAGCGAGACAGGGGGAGAGAGGGAGGGGGAGAGGGAGAGCGACACTGTGAAAGTAAGGGTAAAAAAAGAGAGACTGAAAACAAAAGCAACTGCCGTCTGGCGACCAATTGTCTCGAGGCCCTCAAACCATCAGAAAGCCCACGACACAGCTGCGATGCATGCAACACTCACACACACACACACACGAAAAATTGCCCGTCCTGCCACTGCCTGCCGCACCTTGTGACGCACATGCCCCCTGCCCAGTGCCCCATGCCCCATGGCCCCTGCCACATTTTCGCGTTATGAATTGATTGCGTGCTGAAAATTCCATGTCTTTGATTGATTTCGTTTGACTTCCATTTTGGTGGTGCCACTAAATGGAAGCGTCGGGGGCATGCGTGCGTGTCGCCTTTTGTGGCAAGTAAATAGGAGGAAGCTGGAGGATCCCACCACCGCCACAACCCACCCACACCCACTCTGTCGCTGTGTACTATTTATAGCCAGTGCCACACATTTAATGGATTGTTTACATTTCGAATAGCCAACGAAAATCACCAGCAAAATAATGGAAGGAACGGGAGCAGTAGCCTCTGGTGGCATAAACAAAATCTCTGCGGAGCGTGGCAAGCAGCAGGCGGGCAGAGGGGGACGCCCGTTTCAGTTGCAACATTTCGGCAAAAGATCGAAAACGAAAGTAAATTTTTGGGTACAAAAATACCAACAGCAAAATATTAAATAAATATGGATTATGGCTAAGTAAAAGATGTACAAATTCTTGCCACTAATTAAATTATATTATATATTAATTATATTATTATATTAAATAATATTAATTATTAAATTATATATCAAAATTTCCTCTGCTTTAATTTGCTGCAAAATTTATGTTCCCCCAAAGCGATCGCTGCAAGTGACATGAACAAAAGGGGAGATTCCAAATTTCCCATAAAGTCTATCTGTAAATGCGATTCATTGGATTTAGGCATCTGTGGTTCCCCTTTTTATATATGTATATTTCTGGCTATATTCTTGTTTCAAGGGAATTCCTCATTTTTCTGGCACTTTATTTTTCGCCCTCAAAAAATATTCTACAAAAATTCATTCTCGTGAATATTTTTTTGGGCTAATATTCGAGAGCATTTTGTGGCCTTTTGCGGCACTTTGTGGACTTACCATTAAATGCACAAATCGTCGAGCATCAAATGTCTGAGCTTCAGAGCTGAAATGAAAGATGAGCATGGGATGGAAAAGTATTAGCATTGATTAGCATTAGCGGGCAATCCTAATGAGTAAACAGCTCGAAGCTCGAGGCTGCAAAAACAAAAAAAAACTTCAACTGCAAATGAAACTGAAACTAAACTTGAGGCTAGGACTTTCAGATGACTTCGACTGAGATTGAAATTGAGACTCCGGACCACTGTGTGCGCACCCCCCCGCACATAAATAATTGCAGCTTATGGCCATCTATTATGTGTGTTTACTGTAAAGACGATTGATGATTATTGATTAGGCGAACGACCCCGCACGACACACACCACACAACACAGTATTCAGTATTCACAGTGAATATTCCACAGCAGTGTATAACTAGGGAAGGGGGAGAGGGGGTGAGTGGATGGATGGATGGATGGATGGAAGAATGAATCATCGCGAATCTAAAAACCAACGAAAACCGACGCTAAAAACAAATCTCGCGTAGGTAGCCGTCAATTTTTTAGGCAAACAGCAAATAAATTGAAGCCAAAATACAAAACAAAACAAAACAAAAATAATAAAACTCGACACGAAAGAGAGAGAAGGGGAGAATCGCCACAGCAGCGGACACCAAGCGGACAGCCACCAGCCACCAGCGGACATTTGGCTGTCCATTCATTTGGCTTAAAATCTCCGGGCAAAGAAAAAGCCAGGAGTTGGGGGGTATTTGCTGTTGTTTACTGGGCCTGTGTTTATGTTTCTTATGTGTGTTTATACCCTGTAATACGATAGGGTATAGCTGTGTACCCTGTTACACAAGGAAGCAATTGCCAATGCCCTAAGGTGAATATTTTGCATCGTTTATCGAGCGATTTCTACTGATTTCTATATGAACTTCTCTCCTTCGAAATGCAAACCAATATTTGAATCGTTTTTTGTTTTTGTTCCTTCTGGTATTTCTCTCTGGCATGGAGGCTGTGTTTGCTTTTCGTTTTGGTTTATTTTCTCTTTGGCTTCACGTTTCGCTTCCACGGAAAAATCCTTTAGCGGAACGGCTACTTCATTTGCATCGATTGTTGATTCCTCGTTTCTCGTATTTACACCCCGAAAATTGCATCTTTTGTTTGCTCACTTAAATGTCATTAATTTCTGTGCTGAAATTTTGGCTGCAAAGAAGAGGGAGGCAGGAGAGGGGAGAGAGGGGGCTGGGTCCGTTCCCTGGCAACGTGGCGTTTCGAGTCTTGGCTTTTGTTATTTTGTGCGAATTTTCGCATTCGATTCGCATTGAAATGTGCAAAAAAGCCAATTAGGAGCGCAATTAACAGCAATTTTGTTGTGTGGCTGCCTGCTGCGGCTGCTCCGAAAGCGAAGACCCAAAAGCGGATTGAAATGTTGCCTGATTGAAGCGGAAAGCTTGATTGCTGCACTCTCTCGAATTGGCTACCGTTTCAAGAGATTTGATTTCTTGGTAGCAAACGAGAGCCAAAGAGAATCAATCAGTGATTCAAGTTTGCAGTAGAATGCGCGAATAAGCCACACTGCGAGAGAGAATTCAAGTTAAATTGCATCTAATAAAAATATATCTATTATTTTTAGGTAGCTATGATATGGAAATATGTATGTTCTCTGTATGCATTATCCCACATCCCAGATGCCCATTCCCTTTTTCTTTTTTCTGTAATTTTCTGTAATTACTGGGTGCTTTGATGCCTCGTTTTATGGCGCCTGCCCCGCCAGCCAAAGGTATTATCGGCCATCAAATGAAAGGCGCGACCTTGAGACTGCATCCAAAGTGATCTCTGTGACTGGGGCAGAATCAATCTCTTACGTAGGGGGAATTTCTCTCTCCCCTGGGGGGGTATTCTCTTGGCCGGGCAGGGGCAGTGGCTGGTCCAAAGTGCTGTTCGAATGAGTGCTTAATGTTCCTTAATGTCCATTCGGTGGCAATTAACAAACAAATGAACAAAACGACAGCTGCTACACAGCCACCGGAATGGAATAGTAAAAGTGGTTTCAATTTCGGTATACATAGAGATGCAGAGAGAGGGAGAGAGAGAGAGAGAGAGAGGGAGAGAGAGTGGGAAGGAGAGATGCCAGAAGACATTAAAAATTATTTAATTAAGTGAATTTTTAATTTCGCTTTTTGTTGCCTCTCTCTCTCTCTCTCTCTCTCTGTGGGGGCAGCACTTGAGACTCTGCCGCTGCTGACTCTGCTGCTGCTGAGTTGATTGTCTAATTTCATTAATCTACGAAAACGAAAGAGGCAACGAGTGGGGGGGGCGGGGAGGTGCTTTGGGGGTGGCACACTTTATTGGCACTGTGCCACAGAGAACGCGCGCGCTTGACCCACTGTACGTGCGCGCTCTTTTGTCAATTAGAAATTTTTAAATTTCGACCTTTGACTCCCCCACACACAAGTGGCAGAGTAGATGGAGCCACGCCGAAGGCTAGTACCGCTTGGGCACTAGCCTCACTCGTCCGATCCAATCGAAATTGTTTCATTTGGCCGCAAAGCTAAAAAGCTCCCCACATAAATCCCACTTGAGACAACCGATCGAAATAATCGTTGAATTACAGTCCCAAAAGCAAAGTCCAATTGCTTGTTGCACCTTTGTGTGGCAGAGAGTGCAGAGACGGTGAGAGAGTGGGGGAGTAAGTCAACGGAAGGGACTGGACAAACGATCTATGATTCGCTCTTTGTGAAGGAAATGATGAAAGAAAAATAATAAATTTTATTAATATTTATTCATGTATTTTCCCATATATTTTTGCTTAGTATTTTCCATGTATTTTTAATGGTATTATCCAACCTTTTTAGGCTTACATTTTCATGGGAACTTTGAAAATGAAAGTCCCAAATGTATGGCAGGATTTAAATATAAGTTTTAGGCATTTTTGGAGCCCATTTTGGGTAATAAATTAATCCGGCTGAGATGCCAATTTCCAGAGGCAAGAACTGGGAGCAGAAAAAGGAGGAGGATCCGGATACAGAAACGTTTCAAGAGATACAAAAAACATATTCAGAGATCCGCCACAGATCCCATACGAGTATGCAGATGGTTGTGTGATTTATGGCCCCCCACCTAATGATAATTATAATGTAAGCCCATAGATCGAGGGTGTGGCTGAAACACAGAGACCGAGTCTGAGACCGAGGCTTAGAGGCCTACAAGTCGACCTTCCATGGGGGTTACAACGCAACCAAACAAAGCCGTTTGGCTACAGCGGAGAGGTGATCGGAGAGGTGAGGCGCATTTTTTGTCTATTTATCTATTTGTCTGTCGTCTTCTAATGCTTCCGGTTCGACAGCTACTCCTCCCTCCTCCTCCTTCTCCGCTGACTCTCCGCTGAAGGTCCCGCTCTCGCGATAAGATATGGCCATACAACAGTGTAAGAGAGAGAGAGAGAGAGAGAGAGAGTGGGCAGAGTACCGCCAGTAGTGGCATCTCTCTCTTGCCTGTGTGTGTGTGTGTGGTATATATTGATTGCCTGTCGGCTCCGGAGTCCAATTTGTTGGCAAAGTACGAGGCGGCGACCATTAAAAAGTCATTACAAAAGCAACAGCCACAGCCACACACACACATCAGTGCAGTGGGGTGGGGGGTTACAGAGTGGTCCAAGGGTGGTGTGGAAAGGGAAACGACAAGTACATGGCATAATTGCAGGCAGACATACAGACAGACAAACAGACAGACGGACAGATCGGCAATCAAAAGGTTTGGGAGGAAGTGTGCATGCCCAAAAACGAAAACCAGAAAACAGAAAACAGAAAAAAAACAAACCAAAGTTCGACTTGGGAGTTGAGTTTTTTTCTTCTTCTATTTTTTGTTGTCTACCGTTTTTGGATTTCCTGCTAACAAGCGACATGTCGTCTGGAGACACAGTCCCCCAACACCCCCCACCCCACCCCTGGCTGTTGCTACGCCCCTGCACTGATCGCTTTAAGGGCTTTTGGATGATTGACTCGCTGTATTACTTACTATTTGCCCATTGATAATGAACCTCAATTATCGTGTGCCCCCGCCACCCGTGCCGCTCGTTTGTTTGCTCTCCATTCGTTTGGATTCCCAGTCTGTGGCTGTGCAATCTCCTCGCCAGCAGACCGCAGACGCCACCACGCCGCACATAGACAACCGCAACACACCCGGGCCGGGCCGGGCCGGGCCGGGCCGGGCCGGGCACCACCTTAAGCCAGCACCTCATGTAACCCCACGGATGTTGGCCGTGACTCAGTTTTTTCTTTTCGTTTTCAGAGTGAGCCATCCATCGATCAATATTTGCCAGCGACTGAGGGCTGAATGCATTTTCTCCAAGAGTGGGGGATGGAGGTGTGCTGAGGGAAATGCACATGAACATTTTCAATGGAAATTCAAGCAAAATAACCATAGAACGATCAATATTCAATGCGACTCTGGGTGCCCTTTGAATGGTCACTCGAAAAGTCTCTCATACAATTTCGGATTTTCCAACCATTTCCACCCCTGGGCGCAATTTAGATCTCAAAAATATATCGATGACACCCAACAAATGTTATCAAATGTGTGAGCAAACGAAAAAACCGTCTATAAATATTCGGAATTTTTCCCCTCGAAAACACAAAAAAAACAAAAAAAAACACTCAATAAATTTTGGATACTTGTCTGCGTTTGTTTTCGTGCGTGGCTTTGATCTTTCGACAAAAGAAATTCAATGAAATTTATTTACCACCTGAACAACAGCAGGGGGCAGCAGGGGCTGGGGTAGGCCATGGGAACTAGCAGTGGCAGCAGCGGCACCGCCTAGCTGGCACTCACAGATCCATAAAAACCGAAGGCAAACTATGTAAATGTCCGGCAATAAATTTGACCAACGAAATTCTCAAGGTAAGAACAGAGGGGAGGCTAGAGAGCTAGAGAGAGAGAGAGAGAGAGAGAGAGAGAGAGAGAGAGAGAGAGCTAGAGAGGATCATCATCATCTTGTGGCTTCGTGTTTGTGGCACACTTTGAGCATAAATTTCGTGAGCTATAAAGAATGTAGAATCCATAT